TTTTTTTTTTAAATTTAGTTTCCAATCGAATCGGATATTATTAAAAAAAAATTTTAGTCGGGTCTGATCTGATATTATATTAAAATTTATTTTTAATTATTTTTAAATTTTTTTATTTATATATAATTATATATTTATATATTTATATTTAAAAATAATATTTTGTTAATTTCATATCGGATTAAATCAAGTATAAAATTATACAATATTGAATCGAATCGGATTCGAATATAAAAAAATAAAAAAATTTCGAATCGAATCGAATTCAAATTTTATGATTATAAAATTAGATCGAATTCAAAATAAATAAAAATGCATCCCGATCTGATCCGTTGTAAACCCTAAACGTTCTAGTCATTTTACCCAAAAAAATGAACTCTTATAAATTGAGCTATCAAATACATACCAGAGCAACAGAAATTCTATTAAAAATCCCTAATGGCACGTTTGGTCCTGGGGAAAGGCTTTTCCATTCCCCGTTATTCTCTCATGAATGGCAATTCATGAGTTTGATTCATTGAATGGGCTATTTTCGATGATAGGTATTACGAGCCTATTCCCCAAAATCAATGAATGGACAGAAACATTCTGTCCTCTCCTCAAAGAACAGCTATTCTAAGTGTTAGGAAGGGTGCTTCTAAATGCATCTCAATTTTTTTATATATATTTTTATCTTTTTAAATAAATTTCTCGATATTCATATATAACAAGTTTTATAATTTATCAGAAATAAATTTTTTAAAATTATATAATTTATTGAAAATGAATTTCAAAAAAATGGATTTCTACAAAGGAGAGAATGAATTTTCTATAAAGAAAAATTATAAAAGAGGAATTTTATTAAAAAGTTTTACTAATTAATGTTATAAAAAATTTATTATTAGAAAATTTTATAAATTTTAAAATTAATAAAAAAATTATTTTTATTATTTTAATTTTAGAGAAAAAATCTTATTAAGTCCTAATTAAATATTTCATCTCTTAACATTACAAAAAATGATGAAAGAATTATCAAATCTGATCAATATATAAAAAATTGAAACTTTTTTAAAATTGTATAAATAATAATATTGAATATTATATAATTTTATCAACATCTAATATACTAAGTGAAAAAAACTCATCATTATAAGTTGATGGAGAACTTATATAAAAGATTCAGTTTAATTAAAATTATTATAAAATTTTAATAATTAATACCAAAAAACATATTTATTAAAAAATGATGAATTTTAAATTTGTCAAAAAATTACATTTATTATTTTATCCTTAATTTAATTAAGATCTTATAAACTTTTATTTTGTCTTTAAAATCAAAATGATAAAATTAACCTTTTTATTAATTTTAAAATTTATCACTTTTTCTTATAATAACGTTTTTCATTATACTAAATAATAAAAACTTTTAATAAAATTATTTTTTTATAATTTTTCTTAAAATTTTTACCTCTCCTCATAAAAATGGATTTTTGAAAAATTTTATAACTTTCTTAAAATTCATTTTTGATAAGTTATATAATTTTTTGAAAATAAATTTTTAAAAATCATAAAATTTATAATATTCAAAAACTTGTAAAAATGATAATTAAATAATTTTATTTTAAAAATTTTAAAACATAAGGGTGTGAAAAGTAAAGTTATAGTGCATTTATAAATTTCTCTTCATGGAATAGAGTGTCAATTATTTTTACCATTTTACCCTTTTTATTGAAATTCCATTATAACCCAAATGTCAGGAAGAGAACTCACTGAAAGTTTTGCCATGGCACTTTCGGTGACAAAAAATTCGTTGCAATACTGGTCAGATTTAATTTGTTGGCCAACGACGAGACCTAGTAGTCGAATACAAGATCCAACTGTTGTTAACATCAAAGTCAACTGAAATGGGCTGAAAAGTTTCATCGAACGCCAGAAAGTGTTGCTGCCACCACCTACTAAGCTCGCTGATGATCAGATTTGAACACTGGCAAGGCTAAATCGGTGTTCAATAATAACTCTAATGCTTTCTTTGCCTTACTCTTTGCAAAACAGGTTTTTGGCCACTACCAATGGTGGCTGCCGATGGAAAAAAAAAAAGTGCCAAAAGAAAAATATTTTTAAAAAAGAAATAATAAAGAAAAAAATAAATATTTTAAAATAAATAAGTAAATATATATAAAACTTTTACAAACTAATTGTCACTAATAATATTTTTCATAATTAATTTTTATTAATTGATGATTAATAGGAAAGGAAATTCGAGTTTATTTTTTATTTTTTTGGCCAAAGATAAATGAGATAATTAACAATAATTTTTTTAATTATTAAGATTAAAATTATTTTTATAATAAATAATAATTAATTTAATAAAAGGTCAAATAATCTTTTTACTTATCAAACTATATTCTTTAATCTAAACAAAAATATATAAAAAATTATCAAAATTTATTGAAGTAGGATTTTTTAATTTCACAAATAAAATTAAAATAATAACACATATCCTTTATATATTTAGACAAATTAATTTAACAAAAAGTAAAACATATACTATCATATTAATCCCATTTATATAATTAAAATTTTTTACTGTTAATATATCAAATAATTTCTTAAATATTTATATAAGATTCTTAGTGTATTCCATTCTAATAAACCAAACGTCATAATAACTATTTTTCTTCTTTGATATTCCCATAAAATATCTGTTCTATTCTCCTTGTGTTCTATTCCACGAATCAAACTTATCTAAAACATTTCTACGTCCATTACCACCATTAACCAAAGTCCTCAATTGAGATTATTAAGAGTATAATCGAATTGAATTGATACAATAAAAAATTTAAATTTAAATTCAATTCTCAAGTCGTTATTAAATATTTGATTCAAATTTGATCAAATTTTATTTTTTTAACTCAAGTTCAATCTCGATTCATGATCGAAATCAAATTACTTAAATTTATTTGATTAAGCTCAATTAATATATAAAAATAAGTTTAATTTTTATATTAAATAATAATTTGATTATTTATGCTCAAATTCAAATTCAAAATATTTTATTAATTAAAATAATAAAAAATATTTAAATATAAAAATTTGATTAAACTCACGAATTATTCGAATCGAATATAAAAATATTAAAACTCAATTCGATCGATTAATCAAATTATTTAAATTTAAATTCAATTCAATAATAATTAAAATAAATTTAAATTTTATTCCAAATGAATCTGAATTTATCGTATCATTTATAGCCTTCGAGACCACCACCGTAACTACCAAAAATCCCATAACCTAAGCTATCAACACACGTCACCCAACCACAACCCAAACCACCTGACCCAACAAGCAAACAGAAAAAAGTACTCCAGCCTAACAAGACACCGCCACTTACCATCAGCGTCATCTTTACCCACTCCAACAATAAATGCCACTGCCGACAACCTTCACAAACCCACCGAACAACCACCCAAAAATGCTTTTTGTTCTCAACTAGAAAAAAATAATAATAAAAAAAATATAAAAAAACCAGATAATCCTATATGAAAAAACCAACATAAAAAAATACACAAAGCACGAAAAGACACAAAAAGAGAAGAGGAAAGTCGTCTGGGGTTTCTGTTTGAGAAGTTTGAAAGTGTTTTTTGGCTCCTAAATTGGAGGATAGGAAGGTAGTAGAATGGGAAAAGACATACTGAAAAATTGAGGTGTTTGGATCGCCAAAATGTAGGGATTTGAGGTGTTAATACCGACAAGTTTCGACGTGGATCTAGGCTAATTGAAGCAAATTTAGGGAAAACTAGTTTAAAAATAAGAGCGGTTGAAGAAGAGTTTGTTTGGGGATTGTACGGATTTTCACGATTTCAACGAGTGACGGCAGGAGGGTATTGGTGGTTGATTTTTAGATTTTCGAGGGTTTTTTGATAAATTTCTGGGTAGTAAGAAAGAGGGATAAGTAGGAAAAGGAAAAAAAAGGATAAACGACATGTTTTGGGCAACAATCCAATATCTCGACTCAGATCCGATTCCAATCGACTTGCGATCTGCTTCAGTTTACTTGTTCATTGACCATTGATAGAATCAATGAACGGCTCAAAATTATTCATTTTTTAAAATTTTTATTTATTTACTTATTTGTTTACATGTAAATCTAAAATTTTAAGATATATACATATTTTAAATTGATAAAACTAAATGAAACTATTAAATAAATAAGATATTAAATTAAATTCTTCAGTATAATTATTTAATTTCATCATAAAAATTTAATAAATCTCAATAATAAGTGAATCATTCTAATGATAAAATTTTAAGGAGCTGCGAACATGTGACTTTCTAAAAAACTATTATTGAAAATTATATTTTTAAACCTTATCAAAATAATTGAAGATCTAAAAAGAAATTTCAATATCAATGATTGGCATTTGCTCTCAAATAAAAATAGAATAAAAAATAAAGGTGGAAAATTAAAAAAAATAAAAATGATTAGATAATTAGCAATAGAGATATTTGTAAGGTCTTTGCCCAATAAAAATAAAAACAAAAGAAATGGTTAAATAATCAAGGTTATAAATTTCCATATCATGGATTCTTATTTACTCCCAAACAACAAATAAATATAGAATAAGAACATAGAAAAAGATAAGGAATGGAAGATGTTAAAAGTAATAATAAAAAGAACAAAAGATTTAGAAATTTATTCTATCCATAAAATACAAAATAAATTCGACGAAAAAACCTCTCTCAAGAAAACAAAAGGGTTCCTCAAATAATCTTAAGGTGAAATTTTTTTCTAAGGATTCTCAGCAAATATGAAGCTAAATTATTATGAGTTTTTCAGGCTATTAAGGGTACCAAAGCAAATCCACTCAATGCAAAATCTTAGAATAAATCAAAGACTTGCCTGGAGACCGATTACAATAAACAACAAAAGAAAATAACCCTAACCAAACTAATATTAAAAAAAAAAAGTTAATGGCCACAGAGATGATATTAAGCGATCAAACTGACAGCACCATAATACATTAGGAACCAGTCAAACCAGGAACTTTGTCCTTGTTCTTCTTAAGAGCCTGTTGGTACATATCCAACAAACCAGGAACTTTGTCCTTGTTCTTAGTAATATATTTCTCCAAAAATTCCTTTTCAGACAGTGGTATTTCCCAAACAATCTTCTTGTCCTCTTTGATCAGCTTCATTGACTCCAAAACCTTGAAAACTTCATACCTTGCCAGAATCCTATCAACTGAATAGAGAAGCAATTTGGGGTACGCAATGATAGTCTTGGCATCCAACTTCATAGTATTCACATAAAAATCCATCAAATACCTAAGTTTCTTCTCAGAACATGTTAAAGAGATAGGGTCTTTCCTTAAACTATTAAACACTTCCTCTTTACTCCATCCCAGACTCATAAAAGTCTTGACTTTTTTCTCCCAATTGGACTTGCTAAATGAACAAATCACCCTAAGAGCATCTATAAACTTAGGCTCTTTGGGTTCAAGACCTATTTCTTTAACAGTTTTAACCGCATAAACCATTCTGCCATGGCTTTGCAAGATAACTCTAGGCTGTATTACCAATAATCTCGATATCCTAGTAGCAGAAATCCCTTCGCTAATCAGTAAATCAACATTTGGCCGCAAAATGGCATTCAGATTAAAAGTCAATAACCAAGCACATGATCGTTTAAGAGCAACCAACATTTCCTTAGTATTCAGAAAAGCGGACAAAAACTCAAAAGATGGTTTAGTGTGAGCATCCAAGCTTCGTAAAAGAATCAAAGGATTCGACACAATGAGGTCAGCCAAAAACTTACCAGTAAGACCCTTTTGGATGAGATATTTAAGCTTGGCTTGAGCTTGAGTCACTCTAATAGGATTATTTTTAACCAATTTATATAATTATCCTGAAATAGGATTTAAAAGTTAGGAAAATGATGAGATTTGGTAGGTGTATTGGTGTAATTTAAATTTTGGAGAGTAAAAAGCGGATTTTAAAATGGCGCTTTGAAAGAAATTTTTGAAGGAAGCTTTTTATTAGTAGAAAGTCAGATTTCTGAAGGGATTTTGCCATATTTGGGAGAAGAAATACTCCAATCGAGGGTTTAAACTGCAAAATGAAATCATGAGGGTTTTTATTTGAGTGATGCTATTTGCACCCATATTTGTTTTAATACATTCTAAAATTTTAATTTTTTATGAATTTATTTAAATACTCTTTTTTTTTTTTTTTGTCTATCACACTTCGTTTTAAAAATTTATTTTTGGAATGTTTTAAAAACTTTAGATATCTAATTATGAAAATTTTGAATTTTCGAAAGTTTTTAAAAATTTTGAAATATCTATGTTTTAGAACTTAATAAAAGAAAAAGATAAAATATACCAAAGATAAAATTAAAATACCATGTTTTATTTTAAAAATATTTGTTAGAAAAAATAAAAATTATTTGAATTTGTTTAAATTATACCATTTATTAGTGTGAGCAAAACTTGGTATAATTTTAAGCCCGAATGCATTGTAAAAAGTTTGAATAAAGAAGGAATTAAAATCAATTTCATTGAATGTCGGACAAAAAGTTACAAAAAGAAAATATTTCATTAAATATTGCATAAATACAAGTGGTAAAGTTCCGTAAATTCTATTATTTTTTATCTAAAAAATCAATAACAATTAAATTAAATAAGATTATTCAAAATATTTTCTAACAAAAATACCCTGAATAATTTTTCAATTAAAAATTAAATTATTTAAATTACCTTCATATATGCCAAAAAATTATAATAATTATTCAAATTTTAATATATATTAATTTCTCCCAACCAAACAAAAAAAAATCTAAACATGAAATATCTTGAAAATGAAAAAAAAAAAAAAACTTTGAATATCGTATATTTTCCAAAATCACTTTTTTTTTTTTTCGACATCTAAGATTTCATTAACCAAATATTACTTTAAAGGATAAGTGAATTAAAAAACAGTTTTTAATCTAAAATATATGACATTGAGAATAAAATGTAAAAGTTGATCATTGCATTTATGAGGATTCATAGAGAAGAAAGGAAATAAAACCTATTGCAATTTCTGAAGTGATAAAGATGGAAAACTAAGATAAATTGGCAATATCAGATATCTGCTTGATTAAACAAACACTACACGTGTAGTAAGTACTAATATGATTTCATTTTATTAGTCAGCATAGGTTGTTATAGTTCCAAGAGTGAAAAATAGCTTCCATTAAAACAAGTATGCCTTAGATAAGGGAATAATAAAAATTCCAAGGCTTTACCAACCACTGCCACTTTCAGTTCCACCACTGCCCCACCCACCAGGGAAAGCTTCCCTACCTGGAGAGTTTTGAACTTTTGCACCTGGAAAATTACCCCACCCATCACCCCCTTTCTTGGTACCTGAATCCCACTTGGAAGTCTCATCAAAAGATGAATCCTGCCCCTCGTTCTGTCCTCTGCTGCTGTTATATGAGCCCCTACCACGTCCACGCCCACCATATGGCCGTGGTACACCACTTGGATGCCCATCTCGGTTACTGCTATTTCTGTAATCATTTCGGCCTACAATAACAAAATACCATACAAACCAGCCACAGCTTAGACAAAAAGAGCAAACATGCAACCCAAGCAGAAAAACTCTTGGATGTACAAAATGCATACAATAAAAGAAGGAAGAAACATCCAGATGTTTGAAATATTATGAAATAATACCCCATTTGACCCCTGAACCATTGCACTTTTCTAAATTGGTAACTAAACAAAAAAAATTTCTAATCAAATATTTAAACTTCATTTCCATATATTAATTTGTCCCAACCTTTTAACACCGCTAGAATAATGCTGATGTGGAATTTAAATGCTACCATGGATGAGATGTGGCTGCCATTGGGTCTGAGATGTGGCTGCCATATCATTTTTAAAAAATAAAAAAGTTTTTTAAAATAGAATTTCTAAGAAAAAGGTTTTTTTATTTTTTTATTATTTAAAAATGACACATAACAGTCACATCACTGTCACATAGCAATTACGTGTCATCTATGTTAGCATTTAAGTACCATATCAACATTAACGGTATTAAGGAGTTGAGGTAACTTAATACACGAAAATGAAATTTAGGTGCCTGATTAGAATTTTTTTTTTTAGTTTAAGAAGCACGTTAGAAAATTAAAATAGTTCAGGGGCTAAATGAGGTATTATCCCAAATATTATTAGTAGCTCAAGTCAAAATTTGTTTAACGAACAAGCATAAATTTACAGGTATTCCTAATTTTCTTGCTCAAGAATGAGCTTTATATATTTCCTACTCTTAAGCAAATGGCAAAAGTCAACAAAAGCTATATAATTAGTCAAAACTAAAAATATGTTTTTAGTCAAACATGTATTAGTGTCAGACGGTTTAGAAACAAACATCTACAGCACATAATGACAAAGAAGTCATAGAAGATAAAAGGTCTAATGCAGTCCAAATCATCAAATCCCCAAAACCAGACCATTCTTCAGATATTAAAGAACTAAATTATGAGATTTAAAAAATAAGTCAGGAATGTTGCACTCAACTGAACTGACAAACCAGTAAACTAAGATTGCATCCTATGGATATTTTATACACAAAATAAAAATTGTACATTTCAATGTTTACCTGTTCTTGACCCTGGAGTGGAAGATTGACCCCTGTCAAAAGAGTGGCCTCTCCAACCACCTTCATTGGTTGAACCACCCCAACTACTACCCATAGATGCCCCTGCAGAGCCTCCAGCAGCAGGGCTCCGCATTGGTACCATTGCTGCAACTGATCTAATTGATGGAGCTGACTCATGCTGTGGCTCGTCAATATGCCTCTGGAAATATGCAACCAGACGATCAATGTCTTCAAACATCCTTTTTCTGAACTTGAATCCCTTGGGATATAAGCCAACATACTCATGATGCGGATTTGTACTCCTTATATAAGTAAGAATGAAAGTGCCTGGATGTTCATGAGAAATTCCAAAACAATACACAATCCTCATAGGGTACTCTGATTTCTCAATCCTTAGAAGCTCATCAACCTCTGTTTTAGTTCCCCTCCTGAACTTACGATAACTCAACATCGCCTTTAGATGAGACACAAGGGGATCAACATATCGGTCCATTACCTGCGATTTAAATGCAATCAACAGACATCCATTATATGGATTTTTATGCATTCACAAAATATTATATCATGCTAACTTCTATAAGATGAACGTAGCAACTATGTCTTTCAAATAAAAGAAACAGATTCTAAATGCTACGTATTGTTACTCTCCTAATTTCTACAAAATTAGAAGGCTTTGGCATTCAAAGCTAATAAACAAGTATTAATTAGTTCATTTTTTCAAGATGACCCATCATACAGCATTATTCAACCTTCAAGGCCTTAGAATCACAAAAATTTTCCTTCAAGGGGAATGATAAGAGAAGTCCTGCAAATTAGATAAACATGTAAAAACAATTAAAATTGCAAAGTCTAAAAGTTTTCAATATGCCAATTAGGCTCCATTTATGAAAATGGCTTCCAGAAGACATTTTCCTCATTTTCCTATGTTCGGAAGGCGAATGTAACCTGGTCAACTGAAAATAATTTCAGGTCAACAAAAAAATTTATGAAGAAACATGGATATTCTCTTCTCTTTTTTTGGGCATAAGACAATTTTCGTAGAGACCAAAGCTCACCCTAGCTTCCATCTTCCTTCAATTCGTTTCTTTTTTTTTTCACAACCATGAAAACCAACAGATCCCCCATAATTCTTCACCTTGTTTTTTTTTCTTCAATCTTTATTCAATTTTTCACAAGTGATTTTTGTACTCCGAAAGCCACCATAACCTTAAATCTGACTTCATCTTCAATCCTCCTTAACCTCCTTTTTCTTCAATCTGCATCATCCTCTTTATGTTAGCTACTATAATGTTGACATCTTCAGCAAGCAATTTCCATAAATTTTAACTCTCATCATTCTCAACAAACCCACAAGTCACTCCCAGCTCTTAATTTTTTCCATCACCAACCACCATGTTTGTAGTCTTTATTTTCCATTTCACTCTTCTTGTTCAAGTCCTTAAGAGAACTCTCATTTACTGCCTCCAAAACAACCCATAGAAGAGTATTTGAAGCTACATGAATTTTGATGAAAGTCCTCCAGTCAAGGCCCACAGACGCTTGTCTTTAGGCCAATGTTTGTTCCGAATTAACTTCCAATTTAAAGATTTTGATTTTGCTTTTATCAATTTGAAATGGGTATCATGAATTGTTATGAATTTGTTAGGGTTTCAGTCCGAATTCTGATGAAAGTGGATGGGTTTGATTTTTGAGTTGATAAATTTGTACAAGTATTACAAATATTGATGAATTTATTGTTAAATTCATGAAATTTTTTTATGAAAGATTGCTGTTAAAAATATGGAATATTCATTAAAAATGGTTAAAAAAAGTTAACATCATAAAATTTAAAAAAAATTGATGAATATTGATAGAAAATATTTTCGGCTATTGTCATCCAATCACAGAAAAATACTTTCCATAAATTTCTTTGTCAAAGGGGCCAATGCCTATGCAAGAACAATAATCAATTCAAAGCTTAGAATCCTTTAATGGAGGTCCTCAAGATTTAAAGCATGGACAAACAGATTTCTTATATGATGATAACAATCAAAAAACATTCAATATTCAATTTTTC